CTGTCTCAAAAAAAAAAAAAAAAAATAGTAACTTTTTTTGGGTAAAGAGTCTAAGGCCAGCTATTTTATAGAATGAACCATAGCCTGAATGTTCCTGAATTTTCCCATTAGTAAATTCAGAATACCCTAAAATTGCAGGATATACATTATTTTCAGATAACTGGAATATTTGCCAAGATAGATGTTCTGGGCCATAAGAAAAAACAACAAAAAATCCCAAATGTGATCAGCAGTGGTCTCAGCAAGTGGCGATCTCCTCCCCTCCGCCAGGGGACATGTGGCAATGTCTGAAGACATTTTGGTTGGTTGTCGTGGCTGGTGTGTGTGTGCATGTTACCGGTTTCTAGTGGAGAGAGGCCAGGGATGCTGCTGAACATCCTACCGTGCACAGGACAGCCCCACAGCGAAGATCATGCGGCCCCAAATGTCAATGGTGCAGAGGTTGCGAAAGCCTGCTGTGTACAGTAGCAACCTCCTGAGCCCCAGCCCTTGCTGTTCCCTTCACTGGGCTTAGTTACCCTCATACCTGCTGCATGATGGATTTTGCTTGTCTCTTGTCTGTCTCCCCACCCTAATCCTAATGGCAAGCTCCATGGGAAAGGAACTTTGTTTTGTTCATGATCAGCACCTAGAACAGTAATTGCTCAAAGAGTATTTGTTGAGTGACTGTTGCCCGAATCACACAGCCTTCCCCGTGCCATCCCATCACTACCAGGTACTGCCGATTCTCTGTCTCAGACAGTGCTTCAATTCCTTCCCACCTCTGTATTTCCAATGCCATTGCCCTGGGGCAAGGCCCTCATTTTCAGTTCCTTGCTTAGAATATTGAAATATATTTACTGCAAGAGCCCAGCCTTGTAAAGCTTTGAACTCCTGAGGACACGCAGGCTCTCCAGCCTGGTCTCCTTCCTGCTCATCCTCTGTATTTGTCACCATCCTTGAGTGCAAACAAGGGAAAACGTCACTGTCTAACTTGAGCAGGAAAGGACTTTATTGTAAGGATATAGGTAACCCTGGGGCCAGGCCAGAGGCTGGAGAACCAGAAGAATAAGACCAGAAAGCATCACAGGTGCATTTTTATTTTTTTCAAAGCTGAAAGAGTTGATCTAGACTGTCTCCACTGCTGTGGCCTGGGCTGGATTGCTGCAACTTGCTTTCATCTTGGCCAACCTAACCCACCATGAGGGGTGAGTGTGTGTGTGTGTGTGTGTGTGTTTGGTTTTCCAAGTTTTGCATGCTGGAACAGAGGAGGAGGATTTTTCTCTGTGCCGGTTATCAATTTATTGCCTCTCAGCTACAAATTTATCCTTCTTGCCCTACCTTGAGATTCTGGAGCTGGGCCTTGAGAACATTTTTCCTTTGCCAGCTGGTGCAGTGCTAGGCTTGGTAGGGTGCTGGAGGGACACTGTAGGGCCTGGGGAAGGAGTCTTTGTTTCTAGTGTGTGCTTTTCCTTCCTCGTGTTGTCAGCAGAGGCTGGCGGTCTGGTGGCACCCGCTCTCCAGTGAGTTTTCCTGACATCCCAGCGAGAAGCTTCTTGGGAACCAGCTTCTGCCCCCTAGCAGCCACTTCCTATGTGCTAGCTCCACTTCCACAGAGAGAGCTGCACCCTGCTTTTTGCTGTTCAATTCTTAAAGTTCCCTTTTACCCTTTTTAGTATTAACTTGTTATTAGTTCACGTTGCATTTTCCCTGTTCAAATAACCAGTGTGATTTCTGCCCGGACCCTGACTGTTTTTTTGTTTCTGCGGTTGGAGGCAGGGTACTGCCCATTGTGCAATGCTCCCAAGGGTGATTCCTTCCCATAGAGGAGGACTGGGGGTTGGACAGCCAATGAAAGAGACCTGTCCAGTGCATCTCCACATGCCGTGCCCTTAGCGTCTCTGCTACACACCTGGCTCTCAGCATCTCTGCACATGCCTTGGCCTCTCCCTGGAACTCCCAGTGAGTGCAGCACCCCCAGCTCCTCTTCATCCTGCAGCTCAGAAAGGGGCCTCCCACGTCCGCGCCCCTCGTTCCAGGGCCGCCTTCTCCTGTGCTCCACCGCGCTTCCCCCATGAAACAGTAACGCGTTGCTCTGCTGCTGCTCGCTCCTCTGCCTCGGAGTGCAGAGCACGTTCTCAGCACGTGGTGGGCGCTCAGTGTGTGTTTGTTGCATGGTGCAATTAAACACCGAGGCAGCACCCTTTCTGTGGGTGCTGGAAGAGGCCCCATTTGCCTTGGAACATTTACCGATTAATTACTCATCAGAACATCCTTAGGTATAACCTACCAGGTTAGTATCATTGATAAACAGCCCAACTTAATTCATGTTCATTTGGAAGTGCCTTTTTCTGCCAATCACTGAAAATAAAATGACAATGAATGAGGGAGAATTTGTTCCCGCAGGAATGTGGGGCCCTAGGAGGGGTCAGGGGTGTGTGGCAGACAGAGAGCGTGTTATGGGTTCCATTGGGTCCCCCAAATTCATATGTCAAAGTCCTAACCCCCAGTGCCTCAGAATGCAACCTTATTTGGAAATAGGGTGGTTGCAGATGTATTTAGTTACAATGAGGCCATACTGGAGTAGATCACGCCCCTAATTCAATACGATTGATGTCCTTAGAAAAAGTGGAAATTTGACAGACAAACACCCGGGGAGAACGCCATGCGAAGGCTGGAGTATGCTGCCACAGCCACGGGACTGTCAGAAGCTGGGCAGGTCCTTCCCTAGCACCTTCGGAGTGACACGACCCTGTTGACACCTTAGTCTCGGGCTTCTAGTTTCCAGAACTGTGGGGCGGTAAGTTTCTGTTGGTTCAGCCATCTATCTGGTCGGTGGTACTTGCGTACAGCAGCCTTAGTGAACTCATGCAGAGGGTGGGACCTGGAGTTCCACAGTCCTGGCCGTCCGCGTGGCTACTTCAGCACTTCCTAGTCTATGGGATGCTGCGATTTCTTTTTCCTCATAGAAACAGTCCCCGAGTGCTGTGTGACTCTGCACAGCCTCTGATGACAGCAAGTGATAGAAACTGGAAATCTGTATTTCTATGTGAAATCTCTTGTCTTTTAAATGTTTGGCAACAAAATATTTTAAAATGGGATACTATCCAAAGAAAACGCCTCTGCGAGGCTGCCTGTTGACAGCCTCTGCATGGGTGAAATAATGTCAGAAGTTTTGTGCAGGGAGGAGGGTCACGGAGCCGGACTGGCTGAAAATACTAGGAGCCAACATTTATTCGGCTTTACCTACGCCGTCTTGTTTAATCCTCATTGTAACCATGTGAGGTGTGTTCTGTGATCGTCCTGTCTTACACTGGAGGAAACTGAGTCTCAGAGGGCTTCCTGCTCTTCCCAAGGTCGCACAGCTAAGTGGTAGTGCTGAGACCTGAACCGAGGGCCATCTGGGTGCAAGGAGCATGCGCCTTGGATTCCAGGGCAGGCTTCTTCCGGTCCCGCTGCGGTGAGGGGCGGGGGTGGGGCCGGGGATGGCTGCAGGCTTGGCGTGTGCTTGGGGGCTTCTGTTTTGGGTGTGTGGCAAGGATGGGGTTTCCCTGCACACTGAGCACCGGTGCAGCACCAACCGGGCACTCAGACTTTGTGGGTGTGTGAGGGGACGCTGCCGCTGGAGTCGCCTGTGCCGTGTACGGCTCGTCACCTTGCACCGAAGGAGCTGTTGTGTTTCAGGCCACCGCTCACGAGCAAGGGGCGACAGGCAGCAAGGGGCAGGCAGCGGGAGTGACTGTGCGGTGCCCTGACCCTGCCAGCCCCACTGCTCTGGTCCCAGCTCAGCTGTGCGGGGATGGTCTGGGGGTGACGGGACTCGGTGAGGGTTGGCGGCAGGCAGTGGAGGTCATCAAGAAGGCGGCACTCGGGTGCCACAACAGGAAATGGCCCACTAGTAGGCTGAGCCGGAGAAAGGGGTTTCCTATACTGTCTTGGTAGATAAAGTCATCCCGGGAAGTTTAGGGGTGTCCTAGGGAGGTATAAAAGGCACCCTGCGGGGGCTGCCCAACTCAACTCCCCTGTTTCTAGAAACCGCCGCCCCTCCCCATGCTCAGGCATCAGCCAGGAGCCGTGTTTATAAGACAGATCCCTACCCTCTCTTGTCACGCTGGATTGGACCAAGGGTGGTCTCCTCACTCACTCAGGCCCAACCAGAGACCACTGGGGTCTTTTGAGAGAGATGGAGACACAAAATCACAGGAATGAGATGCCTAGAAAACACGTCTCCAGGACAAGGTGAGTGTCACAGAGATGAGACTGTCACTTTCATCCTCCTGAGCTGCAGGCCCCAGGCTCCCACCCTTTCGCGGCCCACTGCATCTCCTATCTGGATCCGTGGTTTGCTGTCCAGGTTACACACTGCCTGTTTCGCTGGCTGCTTGAGCTAAACTGTTAGCAGTGACCAAAAGTCCCAGCTATTGGAGGGAGTTGGCGTGTGGGTCGTGTTGGGCTCCTGGTTTGGAGGACGGGGTACAGGCTGGTGTGGGTTTGCCATCTGGGTTTCTCTCTGCCTTGGCAGGGGTGCACGGGGGTGTTTGTGATGAGGGCGGGGTTGGAGAGAGCCTCAGGCAGGAAAGGAAGCGTGGGGGGTCCAGGCACCAAGCCGTCCCTCCCCTTCCCTCCCTCAGCCTTAGGAAGAGGCACTGTGTTCTGGGGGTGCTGCCCCGGTAGGTGCTGCAAAGCCAGGAGGAGTGGCTGGATTGCTGGAGGCTGACCCATAATTTGTGCCCAGTCAGCAGCAGCTTGGTGGCCGGGACTGGCCTCCACAGCTCCCTGGAATGGGCACTTTGTTGTTCCGTGCAACAAAGCGGAATAAGGACAGTAGCATTTGGAGAGGCCTCGAGCTGTTGCGATGCCCTGGGGTGGGAAGTCATAAAATCCCTGTGTTGTCAGCAGAGTGATGCCACTTTGTAGTCGAGTGGGCTGGAAGGCCAACCTTTACTACCACTTACTAGTATGTGATCCTGGGGAGGTCATTTAACCACTCTGAGCCCCGGCATCCCTGAGAAAAGACTGCGCACGTCACAGAGCCCCATGAGCTAGAACTTGCACAGGGCTTAGCACAGGCCCCGCCTGGGTCACAGTAAACAACAGCAAGTATGGTGAAGAGAAAGGCCCGAGGAACTGGGTGGGGCCGTGCTCTGCAGGCGGAGGGAAGTGTGGACGCTAAGCCTCACCCACGAGATGCACGTTGACAAACACCTCCCCGGAGCTGCCCAGGTAGGAAAGGAAGGGCCAAGCTGATAGTAACTGGAGTGGCACTTGCTTTCTATGGGCCAGACGCTGTTCTAGGGACGGTGTTAAGTAGTTTAATACTCCCAGCTCTGTGGTGACAAGTACTATTTCTAGATCCTTTTTGCAGACGAGGAAACTGAGGTCTAAAGCTATTTGCCCAAGGTCACACAGCCAACACGGGGCAGAGCTAGGCTTTGAGCTTGGAGAGTTAAGGCAAGGACTTAAAGCCACAAAAGACCTTCTGGGTAGTAAGTGACCAGCAGGAACAAGCAGGACGGGTGTCGACGTGCATCGCCCACTGAAGGGACAGCTCGCTTCCAGCGTCAGAGGGGACCGTCAAGGCTTTTCCCAGCCCAGCCACAGATTCTGTCAACGCCCCCTAACCTTTTTTTTTTTTTTTTTTTAAACCCAGAAGTCCCGAATTACAAACCAACTCTCAAAAGACATAATAAACAGGTCTCTGGGGTTGTCCCTGGAATGCCTGGGGACTGTCCCTTCCCAAGACATTCAGTGGATGCCAGAGAAGCCCTGGAAAAATTGGGTGACCACCCGAAAACCAGGGTGGGGACGGCCTTTTCTGTGAGTCACAGTTTGCCTCGTAGCAGCACCTTGGTGGCCTCTGTGAAGGTTTCCAAATCAGAGATAGACAGGAAATGCAGAATTCTACTTATTTTTCCCAGAAGGACCTGGATCTTCCGAGCCACGGGGCTGGGTTCCACCTCCAGGATCGCTGTGTTCTTCATTTCGCTCAGCACCTCCGGGGGGATGAACTGTGGGGATTCAGGGAAGGCTGGGTGAGGGTCGCCGCGCCCTCCGCCCCGCCGCCATCCCAGTCTTCCCTGGAGCCTTCACCCTCCTGAGCAAACCTGTGCTCCCAGCCCTGCCGCCTGCAGTCTTCCTGCTGCTTCCCAAATACACTCACGTGGCCTGTGCTTTTTGTCACATGACTGCGGTGATGTGGGCTGACCCCAAATCAGAGGAAACCAGCTCTGGGCCCTGGCACGGCCTGCCTCCTGAAGGGGCCTATCCTGGGGGACTCGGGCTTCTCTCCTAGGGCTCCCCACCCCCAGGCTGGGAAGAGCCCTGCCAGGGCGGGAGACCTCGCAGCGGTGGCCTGCGAGCCCCACTTCCACCTTGGCCGTGTCTGGGCTTGGTTGGGATGAAGTCCTACCCCAGGGGGGCCACCTCTGTGCCACTTCTGCCTTGGTGTGTAACCTATTGAAGACCGAGAACGGAGTCTCCTGGAGGGGTAAACAATAAAGGACAGTACTCATGTATTCTGTGTCTGTGAGGTGACCAGCTTACGAAGTGTCTGGACAAGGTATCTGTTTACGCCGTACAACACCCGGATCCATCTTACAGAAGACCCTGGGCTCCGGCAACGGGCCGGCATCACCCAGGAAGTGGAGGGGCTGGGTGTGCCGCTGCTCCGTCTGTGCCTGGCTCTGGCCCCTTCCTGGGACTCTGACTGCTGCACTGGTGCTGATCGGCTTCCTCTGGGACCCGCTGGCACGGCTGCCCTCGGCTCTCCAGCTCCCTGGGGCTGTCAGGCCTCCGGGTCTCTCTGCCCACGCCGGCCCCCTCCTCTTGGGGCCCGGCCTCCCTCTCCCAGCCCTCCTCCCTCAGGGGAGCCCCCCGCCATTCCGAGGCCGGCAACCTGGGCCCATGTGCTCTCCGGCCCCAGCTGTGTCCTCTTAGCTGGTCGCTGCTGTGGCAGGAGTGCGAATGGCCACACAGGGACGGGGGCACTGGCCTCCTCTTTATTGGGTGGGCTGCTCTGGGAATCCAGTGTGGGTGAGGATGTTAGGGTGTCATTATTCACCCTGCAAAATAGCAGGCCTTGGCAGGCAGGAAACCCAGGTGGCCAGCTGGGAACTTTCCAAGTTTTAGCACCCAAAGTCCTGGAAAACTCCTCGGACCTGGGCAAACTGGGGTGGCAGGTCACCGCAAGCTACCACATTCCCCTCTGTTCTCTGCTGCTGGGCTGCCTCCTCCATCAGCCCCCCTTCTCCACTGACTCAGCACCCAGGGGACACGCTGTGTCTGTCTCCCCGGGAGGTCCTGCTTCCAGAGGCCTCCAGTGCCTCTCGGGGGCTCTGTAAATGGAGCCTTTGTGTGGAATGGGGGAGAGGGGCTGGGGCAGAACAGGCCTACACAGAACCGGCCTTGCCAGGGTGGCCAAGTCCTCTCCTTGACTCTGGTCTTCGGGAAGGGCCTTGAGAGCCACCTTCGTCCCCCACCTCTGTCAGAACTCCAGGGCCTCCAGACACACCATTTGCAGGGGGTTGAATTGTGTCCCCCAAGGGATATGTCCAAGTCCTAGCCCCCAGTCCCCGTGAATTGACCTTATTTGGAAATAAGGTCTTTGCAGAGGTAATTAAGTTAAGGATCTCGGGATGAGCTCAGCCTGGCTTAGGGTGGGCCCGAAACCCAATGACTGGTGTCCTTATAGGAGGAAGGAGAAGGAGATTTGACGCAGGCCCACAGAGGAGAAGGCCGCGAGGATGGAGGCAGAGACCGGAGTTGCGTGGCCATGAACCAAGGAAGGCCCGCGGCCTCCAGACGCTGGGAGAGGCCAGGAAAGATCCTCCGTTAGCGGATCAGAGGAAGGCGGCCCCACTGATGCCTCGATTTCAGACTTTCAGTCTCCAGAACCACCAGAGAATAAACTTCTGTTGTTTTAAGCCTCCCGGTTTGTGGTCATTTGTCCCAGCGGCGCTAGGAGACAATACACCACTCCGACTTTCCTGCCCGACCTGGGTGGTGCACTTCAGACTCCCAGGTGACCGTTTGTGTGCCGGGGAGGGCGATGAGGGCACAGTGGCAGGGCTGGGGACACAGCTCTCCCCCTCGTTTCTGGCTGAGTATCAAATGAGGTCGTGCATGTTGACATCTTTGGTTTTTTGTCAGGCTCGTAGCCCCAGCTCTCTGAGGATGTCAGTTTCCTCAGCGCCCAACCTCATGGTGCTGGAAAGTTACGTGAATGCCCTTGTACAAGGTTACGCACCAGGTACGTGAAGGTGGCCTTGTTTTTCTACCGATCGGTGTGATTCAGAATGGGGCCCGTCCAAGCAGCAGTGGCCTGGGTGTAGGTGGGCGCCCTGCCCGGCAGAGGTGTGGGGAGTTGCCACCTTACCTTGTACCTGGTGCCCAGGTTGATACAAATCTGCTTGTGTTTGTGAGCAAAGCGGAAGAAGATCTTATCCTGGCTCTGTACTTGTACCTGGATGTACTGGTTGATGCTCAAGGAGATGGGCTTGACCGGGGGTGCGTGAACGTGGATGCTCAGATTCCACCAGTTCCAGGCCCTCAGGCGCCTGTCTTTGCCGAAGTAGTAGCCCAGGTTGGGGCTCAGGCTCAGCCTGGAGGAGAGAAGCATCAGGCAGCTGAGCGCTCAGACCTGAGGCCCCTGCTCTCCTCCCTCTCCCCCTCTGGCTGCAGCAAGGCCCACAGGGTCCTGGTGGCGGGAGAAGTTCCAACACGAAGGCTGACCTGAGACCAGGCACTGCCCTCCAGCCCTGGCCGGCCGCGTCCTCGCTCTCCCTCCCTCTCCTCCTCCTCCTGGTTCTGCCACGCTCTTCCCCTGCCTGGAAAGGTCCCCTGCCCAATGTGACATGCCCGCCCTCTGCTTATCCTTCGGGTCTTAGCTCGGATGTCACCTCCTCAGAGGGGACTCCTGTCCAGCCCCTCTGCTTCCCACCAGGACTCTCCTTGCCACCCCTTGTTAGTTTCCTTCATATAATAGATGCGGTCAATTCTCAATATTCACGGTAGTTACGTTCTATGAAGCCAGATTTGGTGAGTACTGAACCCGTAGCTCGTAGGGGAAATATGAAATATATTAATATATATACACACACACACACACACACACATATCTCACATAGATTATGATCCTAATTCTAAAAACAATCCATCCTGCTAGATTCTGTTTCATTTCACAAAAAGAAGACGAGGCTCACAAGTGTCATGTTCCTTGATAAGAAAGACGTGAAACCGAGGAGGGGGAGGACAGGAAGGTGGGTGTGGGATAAAAACTTACCTAACGGGTAGTGAACACTATTCTGGTGATGGATTCACCCAGGGCCCTGACTTAAGCACTGGACAAGCTACACATGTAATATAAACACTGGCACCCCCTTAATTAATATTTTGAAATAAAAAAATAAAATACTATACAATTACTCAAAAACAAAAAGTATCGTGTTCCAGAACTTTTCCATCGTTTAAAAAAAAAAAAAGGGAAATGTCATGTGACTTGCCTGAGGCTGCCCCACTAACAGGTGCCACAGCTGGGATTCAAACCCCGCCCAGCTGGCCCCGGACCCGAGCTCCTTGCACTATCCTGTCCTGTCCCGGTCTCTGGTGTCCTCTGGTCACCTGGCTGGGAAGGCTGAAATAGGAAGAGCGTGGCCTCGTTCAGTCTCTGCTGAGTGGGGCTGGGGGGTTTCTCTCTCACCCATCCCAGGCCCTGCTCTTGGGGGGCTCGCCTGCCCTTTGAGCCATCCTGTCTTGACACTTCAAACCCACCGTATGCCTCTGGCCCTGGCTTCTGCCTTTCGACTCCCACCTGGACTGTCCCTAAAATCAGTGCCCCTGGGACAGCAACGTCTCGGGGAATCCAGTGAAGGAAGGAAAGGATGCTGAGGGCTGAGTTAGTCAGAGGTAGGGCTTGGGGAGCCGGGGTTACTTTGACACGCTGCCACGGCTTGTCTGGGCCGGCCGGGGCCCAGCTGCGGGCAGCCTTGCTCACCTCCAGTAGGGAGGACTCCCATCACTCCCCAACCCCAGATCCTCCTGTTCTTCCCACTGGACAAAGAGCGAACTCCTCAGCCCCTTCACCACTGGGCTTCAGCCTGTCGGGCCTCGTTCCCCTTTACCTAAGCGAGAGGCTGTGTGCACAGTGATGGATTAAACCTGGGCTCTGGAGCCAGACCCTCTAGGTGCAAAGTCTGGTGGTGCCACTTTCAAGCTGTGTGACCTTGGGCCAGTTACTTAACCTCTCTATGCCTCAGTTTTCTCAACTGTAAAATGCAGATAATAATAGTACTTTACTCATAGGGTTGCGTGAGGATTAAATGCCTATACGTAGCAATAACTCAGAAAACATTCGAGTTTCCTTATCATCACTGGTGGGGAGGAGGGCAAGAGGAATCGTCTTATCTCACCCCCTCACTCCGTAGGGAGTAGATCCCAGCTGGCTTTTAACCCTTACACAGCTCCCACCAGCCTTCTCGCACTAGGCTGTCCCCACTCCCTGGGAGGTCTGCTCTGCCTGGGGGTGCCAGGCTCTGGGTAGGGCTCCCATAGGGAGAAGGGATCTAGAACACCCAGAAATGGTTGAGCTGGGAGGCCTCTGCTCAGAGGATGTGAAAACCCTGAACTGTGGAGTGGGTAGAACCCACCTCCCCGGGACTGCGGGTTGAGGCCTCCCCGTGTGGGCCCATGAAGCCAGTTGGGGGCCTGGTCTGAGATTCCTCGGGCTGACAGCTGGGGCGGTGCTGGGCTCTAGTTTCCACACACCCGGCAGATGACTAAATCCTTCACGGAGAAGCTCTCTGTCAGTGCTGAGGAAATTTCTAGCAGTTAGGGTCGAGGGCCCCTGGTCAAGCCGCTTTGTGTTCCCAAAGGACTCAGAGGGTCTTTTGCACAGAATCTCCTGGTGACAATGGGACTACAGTCTTGATGATGAACTCCCTCAGGGACCAAGTCCTTCCTCTATGGGCCACTTTTTCTCTGGCGCAGCTGCCCCTGGGGAAGGAAGCAGCCTGTGGGTGGGATGCCTGTTCAGGAAGAGGGTCTGGCCTTGTGGTATGACATCTGGGGGCGGTGGGTGTCGGGGGGATACACGTGGACAGTGTATCTCCCACCCAGGTGCCTGTGTGCAGGGACTGAGGGAGGGGCTTCCCTCCTCAGCCTGGCCAGCTTGGCCATCTGTCCAGCACCAAGAAAGAAGGGCAAGAGAGACATCAGTGACACCACTGGGGGCCTCTCCTACTGGGGGGCAGCCGGGAGTGAAGAAGGAGAGACAGAGGCTGCTCAGTGGGGGCCAGGGAACACACAAAGACAGGGTGAGTTTGGAGGCCCCAGTGGGTGGCCCGGGCCCTGGCCTGTGTCCCTGTGGGCAGGACACTGCACGGGCCATTTGCTGAGATTTGTGAGGCCCACTATGAGCCTAACGGATGAGCTTGGAACACGGGAAGCCTCCGAAGTGTAAGCCACCCTGTTTTCTGCAGCGGAGGAGCTTAGGGTCAGGAGGGAAAGCTGCCAGTGTTTCTCCCACTCTCAAAAACACGTGAGTCATGGTTCGCAGAGTTTCTGAAATTCCTCCAAGGGCAGAAAGGCAGCAGGTTCCAAAGGATGAGATGAGAGATGAGAAGTCAGGGAGCCCCGGACCATGCGCTGGCGACAAGGCTGGTGCCAGCGTCCTAGAAACAAGGCTGTTCTGGGACCAACAGACTTTAAACCACTGGTCACTGCCGCCCCCAGGACAGGACACCTGGGCCATTTCCTCATGAAGTGGAGGCGTTTCCAGGGCCCTAGCAACAGTCTGGGGTGTCAGCACACTGGGGAGGCCAAGGCATGGCTCCCTGTGGATCTGGGTCCCTGTCTCTAGCTTACAGCCCTGAGAGGGTGCCACACCCCTGGGGGACAAGGGCAGGGCCTGTCACTGGGGCTCCTGGCATCACCCTTTTCCACAGCCTTAAAGGCACAAAGGCACAGTAGAGGGCATTGGCCGGGGCGCCCACACCTGGCTGAGCCACAGAGGCATCTGGAAATTGTTTAAAGAACACAGGTCTCCAGGCCCTACCCCAGACCTACAGAATCAGAGTCTTGGGTCGAGGGAAGAGTCAGCCCTTACCTTGACTCTGAGCATCACCCTTCCCCTTGGGTTTTGCGGGGCTGAGATTCAGGGATAAGGTGCGGTATCTCTTACACGTTATTTGATAATTTTTAAAAAATGCTTTATTTTAGGGTGAGTCAAAATGTCATAAAACTTCTTGCCCGTAATTTCATGTATGCCTCAGAGCAAGTGACTTAGCATGTTCTCTGAACCTAAGTTTCCTCATCAGTAAAATGAAAGTGCTTTTTAGATTTCCCCAAGGGCTCCCCTGGCCCTACAATTGAGAGTGTTAGGAAGAGGAGGCCCTGCTGTAAGTCCCAGATCCTACTACAGATGGTTAACTGTGTTTCTGGTCCCACTCCCTGTGCTTCCTGCACCCAGGACCTTGGTGCACTTTACAGACAGCGGCGTTTTCTACACAAAGGGTCCTCATACGGGCAGATACCTCCAGAACAAAGGAGTGCATCAGGAAATGGTATCTAAAAAGATGCATAGCAGAGAAAATATTTTAAAAAACCAGGGCCTAGGAAGTGAAAATACTTTTTTTGGAATTAAAAAAAAAAAAAAACAACAAAACAAATTTGGCTTTGACTATCGAGAAGAAAGTATAACGTTGATCCAAGATAATAGATGTCTCCTGGGCCATGGCCATTTAGAAGAGAAGGCGAGGGGACATCCTGAAAAGACAGCACTTACCTCTAAGAGATGGAGAAATATTTTGAAGTGACTGAGTTACCTCGAATCAGTGAGATAAAGCTTTTCACCATGACCAGAAATGGGAACTTAAGAACTAAGTTCATTTGTCAGGAGATACTTAGAAGTTGCCCTTTTGACCGTAGAATCTGTATAGAAGGCACGTGTCTCCAAAGCCCTCCCCAAACCCTCCTGCCTGAGATATCAGGTCTTTCTAAGGTGATGCTCGCAAGGGCTGACTCTCAAGAGGTGTTTAGGAGACAAAGCCGTAGACTGTGGTGGCTGTGGGCCCTCGATTGTGGCTCCGCCCATGGGAAGGCAGTGGTGCAATGAGGACATTACTTCTGCTCCGGTCCACCATGGCACCACGCCCATTTCCCACACTGTGGGTCAGAGACAGGGAGGGAGGCCACGTAGACGGGGCATCAAACTCTCCCCACACTGCTTCCCCACCGGCAGGGCCCCCGCTTACCAGATATCTCCGTTTTCATCATAGAAGGTGGCATGGCCAGAGTTGTTGATAAGGCCCCGGACCCACCCTTTCGTACTGTCTTCCAGAATGATGTACGTGAACTTTTTGGCTTTCGTGCAGAAGATGAGCATAGCCAGGTTCCCTGATGGGTAACTGGGAGACGGTTAAGGCATAAGCAGTCCCTTGGGACCCCCTGGGAAAGACAGGGCCCTGCAGAGGATGCAGGCTTCTGTGAAACCCCCCAACCCAGCCCTGAATCACAGACTTTTTCGGTGCCAACATATGTCGACATGAGCATCCCTGTTCTCGACTGGATACTGTATCTGGCCTGTCCCATCAGGAAAGAGAATTTGGAAGACATTCTCACTGGGGTAGAGAACTAATTTTCCATCACCTTGATGCACCTGGGAAGAAAAGACAAGACAATGAAAAATGCAGAACGTGCATGGTCACCATGATGTACAACAGATCTCTTCAACTTGCCCAACTGAAATTTTATATCCTGTGATCAGTATCTCCCCATTTCCCCTACTCCCCAGTCCTTGGATACTCTCTGCTTCTACGAATTTGATTTTTTAAGTCTTATAGTATTTGTCTTTCTGTGCCTGGCCTATTTCACTTAGCGTAATGTCCTCCAGGTTCATCCACGTTGTCACAAATGACAGGATTTCCTTCCTTTTTAAGGCTGAATAGTATTCCTTGGTGTGTATGTAGTACATTTTCTTCATTCATGCTTCCTCTGATGGACACTTAGGTTAAAGAGTGCTTTTAAAGACAGCACGGTTGGTTTGTCCTGGGGGCTGTAGGAAGTGTCCAGATGGTTCTCATGGGAGAGGGTGTTTGTAGTTCACTCAAAAGCCAGAATTTCTCAAGATGCTTTCTGCTTGTCAAATTCACCTGTCACGTAATGACATTTTTCTGATGATAAGGACCTTATCTATGTGCAAAGCAAAAGCTCTGACATAGAGCTGAAGTTGGTACATTTTCTCTCCCTGGGAAATATACAATACACGGCATGTTTAAAAGCCTGAAATTCACTGCCATCTGCATGGGGACAGAGTATGAGGCTAAGAACTGTAAGTTAAGAGAGAAGAGACTATGTCTCTGGCCCTTTCTTCAGTTCTACTAGAGGAAAAGCAGTGGCTCCCAGGCGGGACCCTGCACTGTGCCAGAGCTGCGTCTGCGCTCCCACGGGCTGCCAGAGAGCCGCTGGGCCCTGGGTGGGAGGGGCTGGATTGCACCTGACCACCAGCACACACTTACAGACACCGCTAGTGGACTCAGCAAACAACCTGGAATTTATTGTCCGTTTGTAAAACAAACAGAAACAAATGCCCCAATTCCTGTCATACCTCATGGGCCCTTGGTGCAGCCTGACATGAGTGGGCTAGGAAGGCTCTTCTGCTTGGAGATCTTGGTGACAACCTTCTCCCAGCTGCAGGGAGGACATTTTAGACTGGGAGGCTGGGTGGGCGCAGATGGTGCAGGTGCAAAAGCTCTGAGGTAGGGCAGGCCATGGAGTGTGGGAGGGACATGGAGTTAGCCAAAAAGCAAGTATGGGTTTCTTTCATTTACTGCAAGTGAGGCCAGGGAGGTGAGAAAGCTGAAGATTCTACATGAGGGCTCCCAGCACCGTTACCATTGTCTGTTACAACCCGGAGAACTCCTCTGTCCATAGGAACTCTGACTGGTCCCACTGACACTCCTCCATGCAGACCCAGGAGAGGACGGAATACTGAACTTCCCGTTCCTTGTCTGGAGGCCAGCAGAGTCCGTACCTTGGTAACAGTGTCAGTTTCCTACTCTCTTCCACTTTTCCTGCAAGTGAGGCCACTCTCATCACGTTAAGACGTTCAATTGCTTTTCCTCTTAACGTAGACTCTTTCCCTTTCCCCCTGGATACATAGCAGGAGTACATTTCCCAGCTCCCCGGCAGCTAGTGGGGTCATGTAACTCGTTCTGGTCAATGGAATTTAAGCTTGGACCCTGGCTTTACTTCTTGTCCATGCAACTGGACACAAACAACTCCAAGATGGTGGAGATACATGACGAAAGGGCCCAGAGGCCCCCCCCTTGGAGGAGAGCACTCAAAAGAGCTACAACATTCAAAATTGACATGATGTGAGCAAGAAACACACATCTGTTTATGGAGCCATTAGCTTTGGGAAGCATTTGTTTCAGCAGCGAATGAGCATTATCCTGACTAATCCAGGCTTTGTGTCCTTGAGGCAGTGGCTTCACCTGACCTGGGCACCCAAGCTGACTCCCTGTCCCTCCCTCACTTGCTCGTAGCTATCCTTGAGGCCCTGAGGCCTTTGCACTTGTTGGCTCTGCCTAGAATGCCCTTTCCCCAGGAATTTCCATGGCTCACTCCCTTATTTCATGTGGGCCTAGGCTCCAATGGCACTTGGCCCAATCAGCTGTCCCCGATTGCCCTATAGGTGTGAGAACAACTCCTCTCTTTGCCTGACATCTGGGGGGCCCCCTTTGCTGCTTTTCCCCCATGGCGCCTAACAATAGCTGACGTAGCCTTGTATAGTACATTGGCTCTCTCCTCACCTGGAACGCACACTCTGCAGGAACAGAGGCTTTGTTTTGTTCACCTCTGTACCTCCAGCACCTAGAAGGTGCCTGGAGCATAGTATGTTCTGAATACATAATTACCGAAGGCATAAAGTCTAATGCATCTTTTTAATTCCCACCTTAATACCTCTTTTTTGAACTTCAGACCTGATTATTAGCTCGCTTTCAATGACCCCAACATTTTGGGACTTGTTTTCGTTTATGACTCTATAGTATCAGTCTTTATAAATATGGCACACGATTGATTTTTTTATAGGCTTCATTTTTTTAGAGCAGTTCACAGCAAAATTGAGTAGAAAGTACAGAGGTTCCCATGTACGCACAGCTTCCCTCACTATCAACGTCCCACGGCAGACTGGTGTGTTTGCTATAATGGATGAACCTACGCAGATGCACCACCATCACCCACAGTCCATGGTTTACATTAGGGTTCACTCTTGGTGTTGTACATTCTGTGGGTTTGGACAAATGTAGAATGACACATGTTCCACCATTGTAGAATCATACAGAAGAGTCTCACTGCCCTAAAAATCCCCTGTGTTTCACCTCTTCATCCCTCCCTCCCTCTCCCACACCCCTGGCAACCACTGATCTTTTTATAAACTCCATAGTTTTGCCTTTTCCAGAATGTCACCTAGTAGGAATCATTTGGTGTGTAACCTTTTCAGATTGGCTTCCTTCCCTCAGTAATATGTGTTTAAGATTCCTACATGTCTTTTCATAGCTTGACAGTTCATCTCTTTTTAGTGCTGAATCATATTTCATTGTATGAATGTACTATAGTTTATCCATTCCCTGTGTGATTGATTTTTGATATGGGTTCTAATTTATTAGAAGATGGACCTATAACCTATATATTTTTTCTTTTCTTTTTTTCTTTTTTTTTTTTAGAAACAGGGTCTTGCTATGTTGCCCAGGCTGGAGTGCAGCTGCTATTCACAGGCACGATCATAGTGTACTGTATCCTTGAACTCCTGGGCTCAAGTGATCCTCCCGCCTCGGCCTCCCGAGTGGTTGGGACATAGGTGCGCCACTGTGCCTAGCTGGGACCTATATATTATAATCTATACACATGAATAATATATATACATTTCCTTTATTTCATTTCCACCCCCATCCAATTGCTGACTATAGGCCCTGTAGGCAGAAGAATCCCAACAAATTCTAGCAAACATCCTCATCAATTAGCCAGCAACCTCCACACACGGGTCTACCTCTATACCCTGGATACATTTATTGTTGCTTGTGCTCACACTGTGTATTTGTCCTTGACAGCTCTCTGATAAGGTGTGTGTGTGCCTCACCTGAGCCAAAAAAAAGTCTGTGCAAAGTAAAAACACCAGTGCACTGTCGCACCTACCTTTGTACTCTCCTTTATCCATTCCGTATCTAGCTCTTCTTTCTTCTTGCGCCGAACGATACGTGGAGGTTTTTTGCTTTCTTCTTCTGGCTCGGACTCCTCAGATGGTGGCGGTTGCGTCGATAAATGAAAGGTAAAAACGTCTCCCGACTTCATATGTGCTGTTCAGTCCAATGACGGGATTAAATAAGATTTTGGTGGAAAAGAGAAAGGAAACTTAGATCTATCTCTCTTAAGGTGCCCAAGGAAGTTTGAGGGCTACTGGAGGGCTGCCCGGTAATTGAGAGAGCAAGACCTTTGAAAGGGGGAAATGCAAGGGTTGGAATTCCAGCTCACTCTGCCTTGTCATTCATTCACTCAACACATATTTATCAAGGGCCTACTGTGTGCCATCCCAGTGCTAGATGCCTGATGCGACGGTGGAGACCACCCAGTCCAGACGTAGGGGTGCGACAGGATGATGCCATGATGTGCCACCTACAACGTAATGAGCCAAGTGCTTATCCAACCAACAGCGTGGCTGTTAATTGAAAAAGCAGCCTAAAGTGGGGAGTTGTCACAAAAAAATGGAACATACTTGGACGTTATTGTAACTTAGAACATAATTGTATACGAACATGCCATTTAAAATGCAGGGCAAGATCTTCCTTTTGAGTGCAGGTCTGATAGCTGTGACTCTATGATCATTTTTGCTCAGATCACACCCATCATTTATCATTTATCATCTTCGGTTTTGGCAGTTTCAAAATATCTAAATGTAGAATCATAGAATTTTGAAAAATAGATTTCTACGCATTCCCCAATCTTTTGTGTATGTTTGTTCCACATCTAATTCACAGCAGTTTCTTTAAAAGCTCTTTTCTTATTGAGGTTTAAAAAATATTCAATTTTGTTTTCATAGCAACAAGTTTCTTTTTATATTTATTTTTGTCCATTTTTATGACAATTGAGTTTTGGAACTAAACTAGTAAGGACACCTGCTCCATGTGTCACAGCAGTGGGATCTACAGAGGCCGAAGCATGGAGAGGAGCTTCCAATTGTGGCATCAGCCGAATGTTCTTGGTGGGAGTGAGGATCTCTGCAAGGAGCAGCTCACTGAAGGGAGATCTGGGTGTGCCAATACTGGGCTCACAGCACGGAACTTAACCAGGCTCTGAAGCTGAGAAGACTTTTGACGGAAGGTGAGTCTCTGACATGCCAGGGGGCAGTCCTAGCATAGTCTCCGTGTGGGTGAAGGGTAGAGTGGGAACGGGTTGGTGGTGACAAATGATTCAGGAAAGGCAAGCAGGGCTAGATCATTCATTCATTCACTTGCTCAATAAATATCTGTTGTGTACCTGTGTGCCAAGAACCGTCCTAACTCTCAGGGACGTTACAGTCCCTGCTGTCTCAGGGGAGACAGATGCAAAACAAGTGAACAGATAAAAATGCGATGTGTCAGGTGGCTGTGAGTGCTCTAAAGCAGCGGTCCCCAACCTTTTTGGCACCAGGGACCATTTTCATGGAAGACAATTTTTCCACAGACTTGGTGGGAGGGAGATGGTTTTAGGATGATTCAAGCGCATTACATTTATTGTGCACTTTTTTTCTATTATTATTGCATTGTAATATATAATGAAATAATTATATGACTCACCATAGGGTGGGGACCCTTGCTCTAAAGAAAAACTGAGCAGGGCAAGAAGGATGGAGAGCGATGCGCGTGCGTTCATGTTTGTGTGTGTGTGCAGGTGAGCACTGGCTTATAGAGGGTAGCCAAGAAAAGTATTTCTGAGAAGGAAACATTGAACCAGAGGCCTGAATAAAGTGAGGGAGCAGCCACAGGGATACTGGAGCCCAGAATGTTCTAGGCAGAAGGAGCAGCAAGTACAAAGGCCCTGTGGCAGTGGATGCTTGGCCCTTCGATGAGCAAGAAAAAAGTCAGCGTGTATGAAGAAGAAAAATTGAGAGCCTTCTAAGTCGTAAGAGGAGTGCGGACATTTTCTTGGAGGCAATGGAGGGCCAGTGAAGGGTTTTTAAAAGATTATGCTGGAAACAATGTGAACAAAGGACTGAGAGACAAGAAGGTGGAAGTCAGGGAGACAAGAATTCCAGGGGAGAGATGAAGGTATCTGAGCCTTGGATGCCTTAAAATGGGAAAATGCTATCTACAGACACCTATGGGGTCACTGTGAAATAATGCATGCATGGTGCTTAGTGCCTGCCACCTAGTAGAAGGTCGATATATCTGTGTTCTTCTCAAAAAGAGCTTTGCATTTTGATGGTTCATCATACAAGTTGCGCCATGTTCTCCCTGTTCTTTTCACCAGCCTAGATGGTTCTGAACCCCCCTATAGCATCCCCTTCATTCCATAGGGCTGAACCATCATGGTAATTCCCTACTTTTTTGTCTATTCTCCTCCCTCCCAACCAAGGGACAAGCCACTGAGGTCTTAGGCTTGGTCTGTTATGCTCAGTGTTTCATCCCTGGCAGCTAGGACTGTACCAGATCAGGAGGCACTCGAGTGAACGAGCTTTCCCATTTCCTATGATACCTCCTCTACAGAACACGCAGAAGGTGACGTGGACAGGAGAGCCAGGCATGGGGTGGGAAATGGTAGAGTGGAGCTTACCTTCTCGTTTCCTCTTGATCCCCAGGATTGTTTCCTTGTATTTTTTATAATTTTTCTTCAACCTAAAAGGAACATGAATCATATTTAAAAGCCAAGACTCAGTTCCTACACATCATGTTACACAGCGCAGATGGTGCTAGAGCCTGCTGAGTCTTTGACATGGGTGGACAATTGAGCCATGGATCTGCCTCTGAGCCAGCTTTCCTTCCAGGAAATGCTTGGGAGTAAAGGATGGCACCTGGTGTCAACTCAGGGCATCCCTCCTGGTCTCTAACTGACCTTCAACCTGGGCACATGGCTGACCTCAAAACACTTCCAGATGAATTCAACAATGGTCGTCTTGGGGGCTAGGGACAGGGCAGGGAGGTCCAAATGCAAGTGTGGCTCTGTGAGTTGGCTCATGAAGCTTGATTTTCCATGGCTTGTCCACATCCCAGTGAGGGTTACATCTGGAAATAGCTTGGAAAAACAGCACTGTCTGTGAACTGGACAGAGCCACTTAAAACCCCTTTACTGTAGTAGGACATTTTCAAATAGCCTCACTCAAAATGATTTATCATGAGAGGCACCTAAGACACAGCCTCTCAAAATGATCCAGCCCTTTCCCCCTCTCATGTCAGTATTCAAAGTGAGTTATCCTGACATATCAATGACGTGGGCTGTTTTACTTCCAAATAAGGGTGGTCTACAGGGTGGCTATGTTTTCTGATTCTCAGATCAGAGCCCCTTTGCAAGGGAATGTGCCAGAAAGAGTGAGCTTCCCAGGCTTCACTGGGTCTGAGAAGGAGGTCTTTGACATGACAGAATTTAAGTTCTTAGATCAGATTCCTTGAAGAGAACATAATAATTTGACCCCTAGCACCCCAGGAAGTGGACGTGCTTTGCTGGGAAGGGCTGCACTGTTTCGGCTTGCAGAGAGCAGTGGTTTACTATTCATACGCTAGAAGCAATAGGGGAACTTGAGAATGAGATCTTCATGGCCCATGTGCACCAAATGTCATTCATTTTATTTGCAGGCACTTCTAATGGAATTGAAGCAGTTACCTAGCCTATCTGTACTTGTGAAAAAATAAAGACCAAGGAGTGGGATGGGGTGGAGTCCTCCCCTTCCAGCTGAGAGCAGGATACCAAAGGCAGACAAGAGTTAAACTCCAGTGAGGAGATCCAGCCAGAGGCAACCAGAGCCCTTTTGGGAAGGGCAGGGTGTTCCTCCCTTGGCATTTTGCCCACCTTTGCAAGCAAATGGGAGCCACATGGGTTAGCTCCTCAACAGCAGAGGCTCCGGGGCACACACTACTCTACCTCTAGAGCCTGGATTAGTGCATGGTAGGTGTTTGGGAAATATGTTTTGAGTGCAATCAAGTTAGACTGAGCCTCTGCTAGAGGCTCCTGACCCCTGGATCTTACACTTGCCCTGTGCCCGGCCTGTGCCTGCTCCTTGATCCAGGGGACCTGCCTGGCCCTGCCTTTGTTCTTTCCTTGGTGGCCCAATTCACACTTTCCCTGCTGCCACCTCTAGCTTACGTGAACCCACTGATCAATAGCTCGATCTCTCTAGTTACTTACAGAATTCCCAGTTTCCTTCCGTTGTCCCTTTCCAGTAGCCTAGACGGGGGAACGTCAATATCCTCTTCTAGTTCATTGCGAGCAGCCATTTCTCTGACTATTGTCTTAAATATTGCCTGATAGGAGCTGTCGAGAAACTACAAAAAGTACCAAAGAATGAAATATCCAAAAAATGGGAATTAATGATTCATTAGTTAATCACTTTTCTGATTCCCAAAGGTACCAGATGACATTTCAACATGTTATTCAAAAAGCCCACAAACAGTGGGAGAGCAGAGTGGTGGACAGGAATTCTCTGAAAGAGTCTTTCTGTTATCATCGTACCCTCTTCCTCCTACTGGTTCCTTCAAGAATTTTTTAAAAATATCAGTATGCCAAAAAATCTTTGGAGAACATAAATTATCTTGTTTTTCCCAGTGTGGAGATAGCTACAGAACACAAAAATGCTTTAAGAGCATGCGTATCAGGTTTCCTGTGTTCCACAAATGGCCAAGCTCCCACTGGGGGCTGTTTATCCAATGTGAAGGGCGAGTCTTCGGGAGGCAGCGTAGCACCTGGCACGTCATCACAGTGGACAGTTCCACCTTTAAAGATTCTTCCAAAGTAATAATGTTACAAGCTGCCTTTGTCTTTTGTAAATTTGGTCATTCTATCCCAAGTCTGTGCTGCTTACCCAGAGGGACCCATCGGTGGGGCCTCTCAAGAGTTTCCTTTTTGGATCCCTCTTTGGTAGGAAGATCGGCTTCCTAAGGAGGAAAGCCAGGGATTGGTCATGTAGCCGATCCCCTGATCACCTACAGGTTTAGGTTTTTATTGCTGTTGTTCAATGTGTGATAAAAGAATAGAATACTATGGATTCATTCGCCTCCCGTAGTGAGTGAAAGACCAACATATGCAGAGTGGCAGGCGACCTGGGGCAGGTACGTGAATATGGCTTGTGGCTGGCTGGTGTTTCTAGGTTGGGGGAAAGCTGGGGTGCTGTAGGGCTGGATTGCATGATCCCAGCCTCTGTACCCCTCCACTCCCCACTGCTCGAATCAGTGCTTCAGGGCAGGTCGAGGCTGAGGCCCTGGTTGTCCCCGTTCCAGCCTCTAAATTCCTTATCGTTGACTATCCCTCCTTTGGAATGGAGTGACTTTCTATTTGCCTAGGCCAGTCACTATCTCATTTGCATTTTAAGTTCTGTTCAACAAAAAATATGGTGTCCACTGCGGTCTACTAGAGAGTGGACCCAAGTGGGTGGGTCTAGTTGACATTTTCGTCCCATGTGGGCTATGCTACCCCATTCTATTAGGCCAGCACGTGTGACCTCCTAAAGGGTCATCCTATTCCCTGTCCAGCCTTAGAGTAGAACGAGCCACATCATCTTGGTAGGTGTATTGGGCATCTCGGTGATGAGGTCTCCCATGCCAAGAGGCCTCTCTGGGTGAATCTCTGGTTCTTGCAACCAAAAGAATTTGCATAGCAGGGTTTGTGATGCTCCAGTGTGTCATAGCAATGAAAATGATAGTGAACTGATAAAGCAAATGAGTCGAGTTGTCAGAAAAACCACTGTATGGGCTGATAACCCCCATCCACCCAGGAGGGCTTCAGCTCCCTCTCCCTAGTTGGTACCCCAGTGGTTTCTGGAATTCCCTCGAAAAGTGCCTCAGGAGTTCACACGAACAAGTTTTGCAGCTGCAGTTTCCTCGTGGCATCCACGCCATTCCTCTTCTCTCACTCTGGCCCTGCTTGTCCACATCTACTGCCTGCCAAGTGGCTTGGAGAAGGGCTGCTTCCCCAAGCTGTATTACTGCGTGTCATGAGAATGCCGGTATCGGTGCCACGAGTGCTGCCTCAGTATCCTAAGTGTCCACTCCTCGGGGGACAGAGTGGTATAAATATCACCGGGAAAGGACCCCCCAACTCTGTGCCATACTTGTCACCTGGACTCTGGAGCTGCACTGCTGGTGTCCAGAGTGTCACAATGTGAAACTGACTAGTTTTCATAGTGACTGGTCTTCACACCCTAACCGCAGGGCTCTGTTCCCATCTATGGCTTTTTCATAAGAAACAAGACATGATTTCATCCCCTCCCACCACTTTTTTCTGGATTCCCCTCAAAACCCCTCTCCCCACTAACTGCAAACCAAAAGCTTCCAGGCTCATGTGGAAAAACGAACTAACACTGGCATGCTTTTGTGTGGTTGGGGGGAAGGGGGTTTTGTCTACCTGCAGTAGTCAGACACAAATGCCCTTATTAATTTAATAAGATGTCCGTATTGAAGGAGGAAAGCTGGACATGGAAACATGCATAGAGGGAATATGATGTGACTAGACACTGGGAGAAGACAGACATCTACAAGCCGAGGAGAGAGACTAGGCCAGATCCTTCCCTCACAGCCCTCAGAAGGAGCCAACCTTGCCAACACCTTGATTTCAGACTTCTGGCCTCCAGAACTGTGACACAATCAATTTTATTGTTTAAGCCACTCAACCGGTGGCACTTAGTTACAACAGGCCTTAGCAAACTAATACAGATGCCAAATCAAAATCTTTAGCCAAGAACTTTCTCCTAGGACCTAGGTTGCTTATTTCCAGTTTTCGATTGGACTTCATCTGGGTATCTTATAGGAACTTAAAACTCATTGTATACCAAACTGAACTTGCTACCTTACCCTACAAATAAATGTGCCCTTCTTTTCCTCTCCAGCCTCCTAGGCTGTAGAGCAGAATTTCCCCTCTGTCATGGCAGGTGCACTGGGCACTGCC